CATCTTTTAATTTGTTTTATGAAAATGTTGGTACATCTTTCCAGCAGAACAACAGTTCAACTGTTTTGTGTTGTTTACATAGAAATTTTAAGTAAAGAATTACTTGCTGAGTTAGGCAAAGTCCTGTTTTTTAATTGCAGGGTGTCAACCTGTGTGATATATCATTAGTCCTGACATAATTGTCATATTAGTTCTCATCCTTTCATATGTGGGGACTTAAGTTCATGAAGCTAAACGGAGCTGCACCCGAATTTCGCATTTTAAGGTGATAAAAGCTGAGATGGCTAACAGCGTTCCCTTCAGGATTTGTGCAGTACTCCACTCTTAACAATGATCACAAAAGTTACAGCGTTTTGGATGAGACAGGCTTCCTCGCTACTTTCTTAATTCATTCTCCCCGTGCAGCTGTGCTTACCTCCGGCCCACCCCTCCCACCCCATCCTGCGGGTCTCCGGTGACCCCCTCTGGTGACGCTCTTTGCCCCAAGAAGGTTTTCTCCTGCCTCTTCCCCTAACCTTCGCTCCCCATCGCTCGGGGCTCCCTCTGAGATTCATTTCGCCAGTTGTGAGTGGGTGACCGTCCCCCTCCCCTATTCATTGTGAATTTCCACCCAACGTGTGTTGCCGCCGGGTCCCTGTTCCTCCTAACCGCCTTGGCTCACGGGGCGCAGGCTGTGGCTCTGCACCTGCCCAGGCATCTCCACCTGCCGCTCACCGCCCATTCGAGACTTCCTGTCAGACCGCGCACAGCAGAGGTGATTGCTCTGTCCTCGCCTTCCCGCTCTTCATCTTCGGCTGCACACCCGTCTACTGCGACCTCTGTGACGATTTGCCGCCCCGACCCTCGTCCTGAGTCTCAATGAAATTGAGCAGCCAACAGCAGGTCGTAAGCCCGGCCTAGAGGCGACGACACCGCCCCGCCTCACCTCACCCACCTCTCCCCACCTCACCTCACCCAGCTCGACTCGGCCTCGCGGATCCCCCGCCTGACACCGTCCCGGGATTCCAGGAGAAACCTGACGGCCCGGTTCCCGCGGGCCAACTGCCGGGAGGCGGGAGGGAACTCAGGCAGGGCCGCCCGGGGTGAGCTGTGCGGACGCCGCGGGCCCAGCGCGAGAGCCGGGGAATCCCGGGATGAGCCAAGCGCCGCGCGCTCGCTGCTGCCTCAGCATTTCCGGGTTTGGGCGGCCAGCCGAGCCGGCACCCTGCAGCCCAGCCGGGGTTAGAGGAACAAGAGCCAGAGTCGCGAGAGGGCCCTCGGGCCGGAGCCAGGCGGGTTAGCGAGTGGGTCGCCGGGAGTCAGCGAAGGGCCCCTTGAGGAGGGATGGGGGGCGGAATGACGGGTCCCGGCAGCGGGCTCTGGGTGGCGGGAGCTGCAGATCTCCAGAGTGCACGGGGAGGGAACTGGGGGCCGGGTTAGAGAGCGTGGGGCGGGGGGGAGGGATCAGCTGGCACCGTGAGGGGGCGCCGGGCGGCGCGAAGGGGTGGGTCGCGTGAGGCGGGGCTGCTGGAGCGACCTCGGGAGTGAACCGCAGTCTCCCTTCAGCTAACGGAAGCTGAAGTCCCGGCTTCCCGTTTCTGAGGAACCCTCGCTGACCCAGCAGTGTGGTCAGGACGCTGGGTTTCGTCACGGCAACCTAGGCAGGGCTCCAGTCAGGGGCCCCCTCGAGGAGATGTTTTTACTGTTTTGCTGCTATTGTTGTTCGTTTGTTTCCAGAAACAAACCATTGTCTCTGTGCTGGTTCTTTCTTGCGGATGGGACCAACACTCTTTGGAGCGCCTTCACTTGTGTTAACAATACAGATGTCCTCTATGGCCCTTTAAAATACGTGCCACTAGCAAGACTGAAGTACAAGGCCCTCATCCCTAAAACCACGATAAAGGTGCAATTTAGCATCCCTGATCTGTCCTCCAGGATTATAGCGTTCATTTATTTGAAAATACTGCGCATTATGACATGGAAGGCCAGTGTATGGTAAAGGGAAAAAAATATCCGACCTTCTAAGAGTAACAGAAATGGTGCTTTTTGAGGAACTGGTTATGATGGAAGGAGAGGTCCCTTTTTTCTTTATTGTTGCTCATTTGATAGGTGCTAAAGAACCTTTGTCTCATAATCTCAGATGGCTGGGAGTTGGAAGAGCTCTCTGGAGTAGGCGCGTTCTTGTCTTGACTAGAGAATGGGAGCACTAACCCGGAATAGGAACCCACCCTTCAATAGCTCTAGCACCAGTTTTGTCAAAATTCGTATTTTCTTTGGTCATTTGTTAAGAGCCCGGAGCAGTAGATGGTACACCCAATCAGATAGTGCGCTCTGCCCTGAGTTTGTTTCATGCTAAATATTATTAATGGTTGGTGCAAATGTAATTGCGGTTTTTGTCATTGACAAAGACTGCAATTACTTTTGCAACAGCTCAGTACCTCAAGCAGAATAGGTCTTTTAGTTACAAAGGCTTTAAACAATTATCTTTGTTTTTACAATGGTGGGAATTCGTATTCTTTCATGCAACAGTAGTGGCAGTAAAAGATGAAAATATTTAAAAGAATGAAGTTGTCAGGGGAGAGAGAGTTTGTTATATTGTATTTGCATACCATTTCCTTTCACCATCTGTTCCTAGTGTCATGTTCTAACACTTCCTCAGCCCATTTTCACTCTATCCTACTCCAGTGGTTCTCAGTCTTGGCTGCAAATCAGAACTACAAGCGCAACTTAAAAAAAAAATAATGTTGAGACTCCACCCCAGATATACATTGAATCAGAATCTCTAGGAGTCAGCCTGAGCATGTTTTGCTTTGCTTTTTTGTTTTTATCTCTATGTATGATTCAGATGCATAATTAAGTTTGAAAAAAAACAAAAACACCCTATTCCCAAGCCACTCAAATAATAGTTGTTCTTTGGAGGCCACATAATTTCATTCTTTACATTTGCAGTTCCTCTACTTAGCACAATACCCTCCTCTTGTATGCCCAACTGCTACTTTTTGTACCAGGCTCTTTAAGCTCAAACATAATCTTCCCTGAATCCCCATCCTTCATCAAGCAAAATTAATAGCTTCTTTACATTTTATGTAAGAAGTCCTCTCATAGATGGCACATAGCCAAGCAATAAATGGAAAAAATGGTTAAATATTAAATTGTACACTTTATAAGGATGAACTTATATGTGGTATGTAAATTATATCTTTAAAAAAGCTTTTTTAAAACAAAAAACAACCTAAAACAACTGTGCGTTCACTTGCCAAATCTATTGAAAAGGTCCAAGACCTTTTCTTTGCATGTAGTCTACTGTTGGAATTCCGCATTCTATCTCTCGCATAAACTGTACCCCTAAAGTATCAGCTAAGATTAACTTAAAGCCACTTGTGAAACAATCTGAGGGTGGATTTATACTTTATAATCTTTTTATTTATTTGTTTTTGAGATGGAATCTCACTCTGTTGCCCAGGCTGTAGTGCAGTGGCACGATATTGACTCACTGGAAACTTTGCCCCCCAGGTTCAAGCAATTCTCTTGCCTCAGCCTCCTGAGAGCTAGGATTACAGGTGTGTGCCACCCCGCCTGGCTAATTTTTTGTATTTTTAGTAGAGACGGGCTTTCACCATGTTGGCCAGGCTGGTCTCGAACTCCTGACCTCATGATCCACCCACCTTGGCCTCCCAAAGTACTGGCATTATAGGCATGAGTTACCACTATATAATCTTTTACAGTTAATCCCACATACCTTTGTTGGATCTTTCCAAAATATCAAACATAGATTTTTTTTTTTTTTAAGATGGAATCTCAGCCTGTCACCAGGCTGAAGTACAGTGTCACAATCTTGGCGTACTGCAATCTCCACCCCCTTGGTTCCAGCAATTCTCCTGTCTCCGCCTCCCAAGTAGCTGGGACTAGAGGTGTGCACCACCACACCTAGCTAATTTTTGTATTTTTAGTAGAGATGGGGTTTCACCATGTTGGCCAGGATGGTCTCAATCTCTTGACCTCGTGATCCACCCACCTCGGTGTCCCAAAGTGCTGGGATTACAGGCCACCATGCCCGGCCTTGAACATAGATTTTTAAAGAAACAACAATTTCCACACTGTTTCATTGTTTATACAATATTCATAACTTAATATTGTAGTTATGACAGTACAATATCAAGTACAAATGGTAAAAACAGGTTTGCAAACAAACACAAGTAAGTCATCTGATTGAACAAGTCAACTGATAGGAGCAGATGTAGACAGATTTACTGTTATCCAGCAAATCTGATATGGGAATTAGCCACTTATGACTTACAAAGGAAATAGAGTGAGTTAACTGGTTAGAGGTTATGTGTAGATAGGCTAAGACATCGGTTACTGTACCTCTTCATTTTAATTGACTATGTGTCTTTCTCCCTACAGTGTTTTGAGGGCAGAGATAGTGCCTGCCTATTAAGGGAAACCACTGAAGAAATTCCCAGACACTTTTATAATGCTATGTAAATCTTCTCATGAGAAGAAGTAGAATTTTAAAAAACAAAGCAGTTGTTTCTAAGCCATTTACATTAAGGTTTATGGATCTTTCCAGAAAAGGCCAGGAAGGAGATGCGTATTTCCTTGCTAAAAGCTTTTATTAGTTTCCTAGGGCTGCCATAACAAATTAGCACTAACTGGGTGACTAAAAACAACAAAACCTTGTTCTCTCACAGTTATGGAGGCCAGATTATGAAACTGAGGCATTGACAGGACCTTGCATCTTTTGCTTACCTCTTCTGTCTGGTGACTTCAGGTGTTCTTTGCCTAGGGGCTAAGTGACTTGGAGCTCCATGCCTCCATCCTCAAATGGTCTTCTTCCCTGTGGTTCTAAGTTTCAAATAGCCCTCTACCTTTCTCTTACAAGCATTCTTGTGTAGAAATAAATGACGATCAATCAAATGAAAACAAGCAAAGCCTATTTATTCAGACCTTGTAAGGGAGGGAATCACCATCTCTTGCATTTTAGCAGAGTGAAAGGCAGCCAGAGGAGTGAGCATGCCCTGATTAGAGGCTCTTGGCATCAGAAAGCTGCAGGCAGGCTAAATAGAAGTGGAGAATTCTATGTGATTGGTTAGGGGGGCATATTCAGCTCCTTCTTGTTAGTCTCAACTTGGAAATAGGAACAAAAGTTAGGGAAGATGCCAGTTAATAATCCAGTACTGGCCATTTGGGCCAATTGTTATTGTTTGTTTCCTAGGATGGTTATTAGAGATAATGATATGACTTGCTACAAGTCTAATTTATAGACTTCCTGGACTGGTTACTGTAGATAATGGGTTGATTTCCTGGGTTGCTGGCTGCAGGTTGTGGGTCAGAGTTCTATTTTTACATATGGTCTGACTGTTGTCCATTTGCATATTCAGTCACCCACCCTAAATCCAGGATGATCTCATCTCAAGATCCTTAACCCAATTATGTCTGCAAAGATCCTTTTCCCAAATAAGGTCACATTTCCAGGTTCTGTGAGTTAGGACGTGGATATATCTTTGGGTGTGCGGGAGGGCACCATTTAACCCACTATAAAGTTCCTCTTGGTTTAGAAATCATGTTTACTTGTTTAGAAGGGGGGAAAAAAAGACCTTGCCCCTTGCCTCTCTGAATGAGACAAGCAGGTAGGCTATAACTGGATTTCACCAAAGGTCTATAACTTCGGTCTCAGAGGTAGAAACCTTTTTGAAAGAGTTGCCTGGACATCCTTTAAAGCTTGGATTTGAGCTGCAGACCAACTCCTTTATGCCTACACTCCAAAACAAGAGCTGTTTGGTAGTCCAGTACTGTCTATACATTTAGCAAAGCCCCTCCTTTGATAGAAAACTGGAAGCAGTGTGGACAATGTATGAATGTTGCCTATATTATCTTGGATAGGAGGTAAGGAACAGTACGAATCCTTTGGTTTCCTTCTTTTTCAATGCCCTGAAACTCTAATCTCATTGCCTGACCAGAAAAGGAAGTAATCCCTAGTTTCAGCAGATTCAGTCGTATTGGTATATAATAGGTCTACAGTTTATTTTTAATTATTCAATTGATTGATTCTTTTTGGATGACTCTGATGATGTTCTAATTTATCTTAAAAACATATTTTTAAGAGACAGTCTTGTCTCTAAAGGCTATTTAATTTGTGCAGTTCTAATGAATTATCAGTAGATGGCAGTAGTTCATTTCATTTTTCTTTTCACTGCACAATAGAAATCTGACAGAAAAAAAACTAAAACTTTTCCAATTTTACAGCATAAATTTTATGAATAGTTGGTTTAAATAAATATTACCCAAGAGTTCTTCAATTTATATTGCTATAGAAATAGAGATCAAGAAATACTAGTTACTTTATTTTTATTATATAAATCCAATTTTCTTTACCCTTTAGGTTACTTTATCAAATACTTTAAGGAATACTAAAATGAATAAAACACTATATTTGCCTTCGTAGTGCTTACAATCTAATGGGGAAAGATACTATAAAATAATGAAAATAATAAAAATAAAAATTTGTTGCATATTCATAGCGTGACAGGAATTTGCTAAATGCTTTACATGCATTATTTCATTTAGTCTTCACAATAACCCTAATGAAGCAGGCACTAATATTGTTCCCATTTTATAGGTTAGGAACCTGTGGCCCAGGTTGGAAATGATTTTCCTAATAAGCTAATAAGTAATGCAATCTAGATTCAAAACTAGCTCTGTCTTACCCTAGACTTTGTACCTTTATCTAAAATTATATAATAGAAATATTGAAACAATTCTTCTAAAAAAAGAAAGTCCACATCTTCCCAGAAAGATCAAGAAAGACCTCTTCAAGAAAATACCAGCTAAAGTGGAATTGAAAGATTGGCTGTGATTTTGACATGATTAGAACAGTGCTTTCAGAGCATTATTCTGTCAGAAAAGGGTGAATTGGAGTAGAGATAAACGATAGTTAGACACCTGTTATGTGCCAGGCACTTCTAGACCTCTGTCATCATGGAGCTTACATTAGTAAAAGGATAAGGAAGAGAAACAAGTGTATGAGATGTCAGCGGTGATAAATGCTATCAAGAAAAATGAGGCAGGGCAAGGAAAGAGAGGATGAAAGAGGATTATCAGGGAAGGCTTTTCTACTATGACAGTATTTGGAATTGGTAAAGATTGATGGGATTCCAATATAATTTAAAGGTAGAGCCAATGGTTTTTGTCAAAAGAACTGCATGCAGCATGTAATGGAAAGAAAAGAGGGAAGGTTCTGGCTCATCCGTTAGATAGGTCAATCAGGGCATCAGACCTGGAGTGTTAAGGATTTCTCGAAGGGCCCATGAAACATCAACAATAAGATCTCCTTTATTATTGCCTTGGGTACTTTTAGTTGAATTGCCTTGGGCTCTATACCCTTGTGGAGACCTCCCTGCTAATGAATTCAGGGTTTTTGGCCTGAACAACAAGAAAAATGAACTTGCAATTTACTGAAATGGAGAGGACTATGAAGGTGAAGGTTTAGTGGTGGTGATAGAGTGGACAGAGGAATCAAGAGTTCAGTTTGGAATATACTGAGTTGAAGTGCCTATTAAAAATCCAAATGGAGATATCAGGTAAGCAATAAGTGTGAGGATGAGTCTTCAGTTCAAAAGGGAGTTCAGGGTAGAGATACAATTTGGGAATTGTCAGCTTATAGGTGGATTTTAAAGCCATAGAACTAGATGACATCATGTGTAGAATAAGTATGAGAAAAGAAGGAAGCCTGAGGACTGAGCACTGGGAGCTGTAACATAAGTGAAAAAGATGAGAAGGGACCAGCAAAGAAAACCAAGAAGTGTGGTGTTTCAAGAAGCCAGTAATTATCAAATGTGTTAAATGATGCCAATAGGTCAAGTAAAATGATGGAACTTTTTCATTGAATGTGACAGTGTGGAGCTCATAGATATCTTGATAAGAGTTTTAAAAGTACGGTGATAAGTGATTGGTTCTAGTGGGTTCAAGAAGAAAGAGGGGGCCGGGCGCGGTGGCTCAAGCCTGTAATCCCAGCACTTTGGGAGGCCGAGGCGGGTGGATCACGAGGTCAAGAGATCGAGACCATCCTGGTCAACATGGTGAAACCCCGTCTCTACTAAAAATACAAAACATCAGCTGGGCATGGTGGCGCGTGCCTGTAATCCCAGTTACTCAGGAAGCTGAGGCAGGAGAATTGCCTGAACCCAGGAGGTGGAGGTTGCGGTGAGCTGAGATTGCGCCATTGCACTCCAGCCCAGGTAACGAGCGAAACTCTGTCCCCACCAAAAAAAAAAAAAAAAAAAGAAGAAGAAGAAAGAGGGGAGAGGAAGTAGAAAGCAAGGATCCTGGCTTTAAAGGGGAGCAATGAAATGGGTCAATACTGAAGGAGGTTATGGTGTTAAGCAAGGCTGGTGGTGGTAGTGGTTGTTCATTTATGATGGGCTGTTCAGAATAATACATTTGACCAAGTAAATAGGGAAATTCTGTTGACAGGCCATTCAAAGAAGTAATGTCTGTGAGAAAGAGTATAAAAGTAGAGGATTGGCCTTAGATAGGAGCAAGAACACTTTATTTATTGCAAGAAAATGGTATGTTGGTATACAGGTGCAGGTATACAATCTGGTAGATGAGTAATGTGCCATCTTCTCTGATTTTTTTCTTCTATTTCAGTTAAATTAGAAGGTAAATTATTAACTCAAAGGAAGGGAAAAGAGGTGTGGAGGTTTGAAGACAGGATAAAAAGTGAGACAATCATCTACATAACTTGGTGCATCATAAGAGCCTAGGATCAAGGGCCCACTTGACATAATGGTCTTGAATTTAAAGTGAGCCAACAGCATAGCTGTATGTCTTTCTTTAAGCATATTCAGCTACTTGAGTGTAAGCAAAGCAGCTGGTTGGGATTCTTCCAGGGAATTAGGACAGGGACTGAGCTGCAACAGAAATGAGGGTGAATGCAAAGGAATCTAAGCCAGGTACAGAGGAAAGAATCCATGAAAAGCTGCAGGAATGTGTAAAGATAGAAGAGTTGATGGGTTGGAAGCCTTGCAGGGTTAAACAGCATATACTGTCAAAATACTAGACGAGAAGAGCTAGAAAAAATAAACAATAGTTTGAATCTGAGATTATGGATGAGGTACAGTTACACTCTATGGGTTGCTGGGTAGAATAGATGAAAGAAGACATTAAACAACTGAGAGATCAGGGTTTTAGATATACATTTTGTGTGGATATTGAAATGCCAAAGAAATATAAGAGAGTAGTGATAGAGAAACAGTAAGTCAGAAGATGCTATAAGCTAGGAATGAGCCTTCCAAGACCTGGAAGACAGTTGATGACAAGGAAAGATAAAGCCTATATAGTCTATGGCCTGAACTTCGAAGAAACCAGAGTTTAAAGAGAAGAAAAGGAAATAGGGTGGCAGTGGAATGGGAAACAGAAAAAAAGTCTCATCTCCAAATTTAAGTGGTTTGAAGATGAGGAAGCTGTTTCTTTGGACTTCAGTTAAAGTCAAAAGATAAAAGGAAAGTTCACTGAAAAGGTTGACAATAGAGAGAACTTTGCTGAAGATGGCCCATGAATTTCAGAAGTCAAAGTGGAAGGATAGAAAAGGGTTGGGGAGTGGGTAGTACTGCATCACACTAAGGGACTTACCAAGCTGAATAAGGATGGGTTCTCATGATGGAGAATGACCTGGCTTCTTCTGAAGACTGAAGTTACTAGGGGTGTAGAATTTAATGGGAATGGTGCCCACAATATTTTTGGCAGCTTACGGAAGTTACACTGTGATTTGGGGGAGAGAAAAATGGGGACTCACCAGGAAGGTAAGTTACCTAGCAGAAATGTACTGTTAGGTAAGAGCATGAAGAACTCATTGGATTGCCTCTTCAGGCATGCAAATTGTGTCATTAGGCCATTGGAGGTCTGTTGGAGCTGCAGCAGCTCTATAAACGCACTTGACCAGAATATTTTCCCAAAGAAGAAATGTAGACAGTACTAGTAGGAATAGAAGGAGTAAGTTGATTAAAGTGATGTTTTAGCAACATAGGAATGCAAAATATAGTGGGCCCTTGAACAACACGGGTTTGAACTGTGCAGGTCCACTCATCCATGGGTATTTTCAACCAAACTCAGATATAGTATATGCAGGGCTTGAAACCCCCATGTAAGGAGGGCTAAGTTTTCATATGAATGGGTTCTGAAACACTGACTTTGGGACTCGAATATGCACAGATTTTTTTTTTTTTTTTTTTTTTTTGAGACAGAGTCTCACTCTGTTGCCCAGGCTAAAGTGCAGTGGCACGATCTCGTCTCACTGCAACCTCTGCTTCCTGGGTTCAAGCGATTCTCTTGCCTCAGCCTCCTGAGTAGCTGAGACTACAGGCACATGCCACCATGCCTGGCTAATTTTTGTTATTTTTAGTAGAGATGGGTTTTCACCGTGTTAGCCAGGATGATCTCAATCTCCTGACCTCGTGATCTACCCACCTTGAACTCCGAAAATTGCTTAGGGTTTACCCTTGCCAGAATAGCACTGGACAGCCATACTATATCCCCTGGATTCCATACCCATAACAGAAATTGCTAATTAATGTTAATATTGTTTCTCACAGATTCTGGTTATAGTTTCAGAATCCACTTCATCATAGTACTAGAGTTACATATTATTAATACTAACTCAAAATAATTACGCAGTATATGTCAGGTACTGATCTAAGCATGCTACCTATGTTACTTTAATTATTAGAATAGCCCTATGAAGTTTTAAAGATGAGGCACTGAGGATCAAAGAAGTTAAGAAACTTACTCAAGGTCATAACAACAGAAAAGCAGGAGAAGCAAAAATCAAATATACTTTTATTCCAAAATCTCTCATTTAACCATTGTATTTTAAATCTTGGCACTAATGATGAAATGTCATTGACATCCCTGTGACATGTTTGACAATTAATTTACCTTTCAGAATCACCGATATACAACAGGAAAAAAACAGAAGTGAAAGATTATCAATATAGATTATTGAATAGGAGTAAACCAAAAAGAGGAAAAGAAGAGATTACAGACACAGAGAATGTCAGACAACAAAGAAAGGAAGAGTCAAGGAGTTCCTAAAGAAGGTAATGAAACAATCTTAAGAAATAAATAATTAAAAGATCAGCAACAACAACAAAAAAGTAGTCTGGCAGGATAATTGTGTTAAAATTGATAGCAAATTAGAATAGAGGGAAGCAGTTACATTTAGCCAGGAAAAGCATACGCAGTTTTTAGAAAAGGCATGCCAACCTGAAAATACAAGCCTATAATGAAAATACATCAACTCTAATTGCTATAGAGTTGTTATAGTAGCACTATAATTATAGTATATGTGCAAGTGGCCTGGATAAAAAAATTAGGACAATCAAAATATTTATACTGTTCCATAAAGGAATAGGTATAACATTGCAGTAGGCAACTTTGAATTGCCTATTACTGTTGCCTTTAATTTTGGTTTTGTCTATATTAGCAAGGGAAAATTACTAATTCTAAATTTAGTTTAGGAGGAAAAAGCAACAACTATTTCATGATTTTGAGTAAAGAATCATAACTTTCTTAAAATGTCTATATTTAAATTTTTATTATATACTTTATTCTTTTGTCTAGTTGTAGATAACCAAGACACATATTCATTAGCTGATGCTGTAGAGCAAGTTGCAAAGCAACAACAATCACAGGCATCAGAGATAGAAAAAAATAAAAAAGTTCTGTTCAATTTGCAGGTAACTTCTTTTATATATAGTCTTTTAAATGTCTTTACTTTCTTCAAAAGTAAATGACCAGGAGGTTATTAAGAATACTTAATATTGGGACTTAGTTTTAAAGTTATTCTCTGTCAATTATTCTATTCTCCTTAAGTAAAGTTTACATGAGTATTCCAGTTTTATGGAAAATTTTACACTCCCAACATATAAAGATTCAACAATGTCATTGCAACTGTAGGATAAGCATGTAAAACCTAACATGTTAGATAGAATTATTTTACATTCCCTTATTTGATAGTTTTTCCTAAAGTGCTGAATTGAAGGAAGGTTAAGTTTTAAGCCAGTGTTTGTAAAGCTATGGCTTGAGTTGTCAGTTGTCAGTGAACATTTCAAGTAGCCTCCCTTTATGTTCCTTTCCTTTTTAACTGTATTCATAATCCTACTACAGGGAATATGGGAGCCATACTTGGTCTTTGCATGTAACATAATTAGATATAACTATACTACGTGAATATGACTAAAGAAATGAAAATGAAAACAGTATTTTGTGCTCTGTAAAGGTTATTATTAAACATATGAAAACGAGAAAAATAGGCTCAGGAGCTGAACTACCTAGTTCAAAAGGCCAGATTTACTACTTGTTCTGTGATTGAATTTGTTGTGCTCCTGTTTTCTTAGTTGTAAAATAGAGATAACAATAGGATGTGCCCATAAGATTTTCATGAGGATTAAATGAGTTAGTGTGTTTGGTGGGGACCAGGTGGACAGTATAGAGCCTGATTTTGACTTTGGCTTTAAATGCATCAGTAGATATATAATGACAATAATTATATTATCATGGTAATATGGATTTCTTATAAATATTTGTATTATATCAGTCACTTCTAGAAAAGAATACATCTATTCAATAGAATAAAATTCAAAAACAATGTCTTATATTTTTGTAAAGAATTTTCAGTCTTCAAAGAGTTTCATAGACTTTATTTCACTTATATTGAGAGCCTACTTTGTGTTAAGGATTTTGCTGAACATTGTCCTCACTCTTATGTTACTTATCCACTGGGGAGAGAAAGAAGTAAACAAATAATTACATGCAGAGTAGTAATACAACAATAGAGGCAAGAACACAACACAGATTTAACACTAGAGAAGGAGTGATCACAAACGAAATGATGTTTCAGTTGAGTTTTAAATGGCAGCTGGAGTTCTTCTGAATGATTAGGTGTCTAGTACAGGTTTAAGGGTTAGGAAGTAAGGAAGATATTATTCAAAATAAAAAGAACCTGAGGATATTTGCAGCCTGAAATAGCATTAGTACACTCCTAGAACTGTAACCAGGTTTTTTCTTGGATGCCGGTGATTGTTGTGGGTTTTTGGCCTCCAACCTCTTAAAGAATAAGTGGTGGGGCCTCTGCAGGTGGACTGTATGCTTGTAAAGCAAATATTGGACCCAAAATGTGTTGCAGAAAGGTGATTTTATTTAGGTAGAGAAAAAAGAAGGAAAGGAGAAGAAGAGAAAGGCTTCCACGAAGATTATGGAAGGGGATTCCAGAGGGGAAATACAGGAGGGAGCTCCTACTCTGTGGGAGGGGATTCCAGAGAGCTGGAAATCCAGTGCAGGTGAGGGAGCATGGACTTTTATCCTGGGAGAAACCCCCACCTTCTACAAGACCCTGGGCCAATGAAAGGAGTTCCTTAGAACTTACTCTGGAGTGATTGACTTTTAGTTTCTTCCCGTGCCCCCGAAATTCAAACATAAACAGTTGAATCTCCCGGATGGAGAGAGATGGGAGTGGGGCATGGCGCTGGGAAATTCTTGCCTTTAAAGCTATGCCCCCTCATGGACCCAGAAAGAGAACACATTTCCTCAGAACCATAAATAGTTGGATGGCAATGTAAATTACAGTGTGTTTTGAAAAAATCATGGACGATACGTATCACAATGAGAAAATCCAACTTTATTCTAAACTTGATGAGAAGCATTTGACAGATTGTAAGAGAGAAGCAAATAATTAAATATATATTTTAGAAAGAATTCTAGATACATAAAAAGCACTTATTATAAACCAATATCCATTCATGATTAAAAAAAAAAAAACTCTCATCTAATTGGAAATAAAAGGGAACTTCCTTAATCTAAGGAAGAACATCTACATAAATTCTACAACCAACCACATACTTAGTGGTGAAATAATGAATGTTTTTCTTCTAAGATCAGGAATAACACAAAGATGTCCGCTTTTACTTCCATTCAAGATGGTGCTGGTAGTTCAAGCCAGTACAGCTATGTGAGGAAAAGAAATAAAACTCATCCATATTAGAAAGTAAGAAGTAAATCTGTTTTTATTCACAGATGGCATGATTTTTTTTAAAAAGAAAATCCCAAGGAATCTATATAAAGCTATTAGAACTAATAAGTGAATTTAAAAAGATTGCAGGACACAAGATTAATATACGAAAATTTATTGTATTTACATATTGACAAGAGAAAATTAGAAATTAAACTTCAAAAGCAATACCACTTACAATGACATCAAAACTATTCAATACTCAGGGGCAAATTTGACAAAAGGTTTACAAGACCAGTATGCTGAACACTGTAAAACATTGGTGAGAAAAATTAAAGAAGACCTCAGTATAGAATTATGTCATTTTTATGAACCGGAAGACTTAATATTGCTAATATGTCAGTTCTCTCAATTTTACTTACATGTGAAAAGTAGTCCCAGTCAAAATTTCAGCAGGCTTTTGGGGAGAAATATATAAACTAATTCTAAAAGTCATATGGAAATGCAAAGGACCTAGAATAGCCAAAATAATTTTCAAGAAGAAGTGTTAGAAATCTTATACTACCTGGGACATTTTCTAACACTAACAACCAATTTTCTGATTCTCTGGATGCCAACTGGGTGTCCAATTATTGATTCACTTCTGACACTATAGTAGTTTTTCCTTATTTGCAGTTTTGCTTTCTGCAGTTTCAGTTACCCATAGCCAACTTCATTCTAAAAGTATTAAATGGAAGATTCCAGAAATAAACAATTTGTAAATTTAATATTGCAAGCCGTTCTGTATAGCATGATGAAACCTTGCACTATCCTGCTCCATCCTGCCTGGGACGTGAGCCGTCCTTTTGTCCAGTACATCCATGCCATATGAGCTACCCATTCTTTATCACTCAGTAGTCATCTCAGTTATCAGATTGATTGTGGCAGTATTGCAGTGCTTATGTTCAACTAATCCTTATTTTACTTAATGGCCCCAAAGTATCAGAGTAGTGATGCTGGCAATTCAGATATGCCAAAGAGAAGCTGTAAAGTACTTACTTTTAAGTGAGAAGGTGAAAGTTCTCAGATTAAAGAAAAGAAAAAAATCATCACTGAAGTTGATAAGAGTTAAAACTACAAAATGTCTAGAAGAAAACATAGAAAAGCTTAGTGATGCTGGGCTTGGCAATGATTTCTTTAATATGAGATACAAATTTTGATGGATTTCATCCAAAAATTTTTTTTAAACTTACTCTTCAATATACACTATGATGAAAACAAAGTAAGATATTCTTGCTGGGCCCTTTGGCCATTTGGGTTGCCACAGACTAGAAGAAAATACTTGAAAACACATTTAACAGTACACTTAAATTTCCACTCTATGCACACACACACACAGGAACACACACACACATATACAACCCACTAGAATGTCTAAGTTTAAAAAGACTGACCATAACAAATGTTGATGCAGATACAGAAGGCCTGGAGCTCTCAGACCTGTTAGACTGTAAAATGACACAACCACTTAGGAAGACAGTTTATACTTTCTTGAAAAGTTAAACCTATCCCTACCATATACTCTAGCCATTTAACTTCTGGATATTTACCCAAGAGAAATAAATGAGTATGCCCACCAGAAAACTGGAAATAACCCAAACGCCCATCAGTTAGGTGAAGTAATAAACTAATATGGTAGAATACAATGGAATACTACTTAGCAATAAAAATGAAGAATTATTGATATATATAACAACATGAATAAATCTTGAAATAATTATGCTTACTGAAAGAAGACTTAAAATTTTACATTAAATAATTCTATTTATGTAAAATTATTGAAAACCAAACTAATCTTTAATGAAGGAAGGCAGACCAGTGGTTGCCTAGGAATGGACAAGTGGAAAGGGAGGAATGAATTGCAGAGTATCAGGAGGAAATGTTTTTGGATACTGGCTACATTTATTATCTTAGTTGTGGCGATGGTCTCATGAGCACAAGAAGGTCAAAATTCATCAAATTGTAAAGTTTGAATATGTATTTATTCATATGAATTTTGCCTCAATAAAGCTAAGAGTTTAAAAAGGAGAGATTGAAGAAGGGGAGAAGGGTGAAGAAGAAGAGATGGAAAAGAGGCAGAGGAGATAAAGGAAGAAGGGGAAGAGAAAAAAAAATAACATAATTCTCATGTAAGGGAAGAAATGGATTAAAGGCAAAAGAAACTAAAGCCAATAAAAATTAACAGTCAATTACGTTAGTCTAAGAAAGAGAAGAGATGACTAAATTATATTGGTCAATATACTCCCTATAGTGACCAAGAGAGTTAATAGATAGCCTGATATAACCAGCAGGGCATGTATCCCTTTCCTGACCATTGTTTGTGCATCAGTCATTCACTCATTTAATAAATGAGTAAATTTATTTATTTATTGAGCACCCACTTTGTGTCAGTTACTGTTTTAAGCACTGGGAAGGTGGTGGTGATGAAGATAGACATGGTTTCTGTAGGCAGAGAGCTTACTTTCTAGTCAGGGGAAGCAAGCATACATTAACAAAACAAAGATAATTCAAAGATTGATATATTACAAAGGAAATACAATGGGGTAATATGTAGAGAGTAACTAGAGGAGGAGTGGAATAGTGGTTGGTTCATTTATATTTTGATATAGGGAAGACTGTCCTGAGACATAATTATACTGAATTGTAAAAGACAAAGACCCAATAGATAATTGCCAAGGGTAGAGAATTTTAAAGAGACCAAACAATAATTTAAAACGCTCTTAGGTCAGAAGAAAGTATACATATTTAATCAACAGAAAGGAGACTGGAAGAGGGAGAGAAGTAGAGGAGAAGGTTAACACAGTAGATAGGCACTGAGGCATATATGGCTTGTAAGACAATTTGAGGAATTTTAAATGTTTTATTGATGCAATGGGAAACCACTGGAGGATGTTGAGCAGGGAAATAACATGGTATGATTTACGTTTGGAAACTATTCTCCTGCCTGATTTACACAGACTAGCTGGGGGAGTGGGAAGGAATGGAAATAGGGAGATGAGTTAGACATTAGGTCACACTATGAAGACTGATCAGAAGTCCATTGGGGATTTTATTTTGGAGTCCCAACCATCAGGATTTGCTGAGAAATAGGTTGTGGGGGTAAGGGGAAGGGTAGAATCAAGAATGACTTCTAGGCTTTTGAGTATGCAGATGGAAAGTGGTACAGTTTATTGAAATCAGAAAGACTGGTGGAGAAATATGTTTGGTGTGTAAATTAAAATTTTTTTCCTTATATGTATAGTTGAGATATCTGGTAAACATCCATATAGAAATGTCAAGTGAGCATCCAAAGTATCAGACCTGATAATAAAAATTGAAGTTTATTGCCATGCTGTATTTTTCAGTGAACTTACCTCCTTTTCTCTGCCATGAAAAGGATAAAAGGAAGTTTGCATTTTTAAAACAATGCTGTCTAACATTACAAGTTTACTTAAAAAGAATGACCATAGTAGATAGACAAAAGGACCATGGAGAATGGCATACAGTTATTTTGGTGGGAAGATCTAAAGAACCTGAGGAACAGTTAGACATAGATATTAAAAAGAAGGGAGGAGCCAAAGTGGTACCATTAACTAAGTTGGGAAACAGGAGCATGGCAATTTGCATTTTTGGTCCCAATTTTTCATCCTTTTGTCTATCCATACCCTTTGCCATATCATTACAACGACTTTCCAAAATGGATGGACACACTTCCACCCCTTGACTCTGGGTTTCATTATGTGACTAGCTAGGGTGTTATCAGATGTGACTCAAACAAAAGCTTTAAAAACTCTTCCATAACTGAATTTCACTCTTTTGCATCTGCTATTATCATAAGACATGCCTGAGTTGGCCTACTGGCAGAGAAGATACACATAAAGCAAAGCCAAGACATTCCTGTCAGCCCAGTTAAAGACAATTTAAATCACCCTACAATCAGCCAATCCCCAGACGCTTGGGCAGATTCAACCAAGATCAGCAGACCCACCTAGCTAAACCTTGCTGCTCCCAGGCTTATGAACCACCTAGCCAACCTCAGCTGCTCCTAGTCATATAAGAAATATATACTTATGTATTGTTTTATGCCCCTGAGCTTTTGTGGTTCTGGCAACAGATAATTGATACAAGGAGTAACCGGCTGCTGTTGAAGAAAGGATTCATTCAATTTTTGGACATGGTGAATTTGAGGTGGCCAGTGGCAGCTGGGCATAGAACTCAGCAGCCACTTACATTCTGTGAATCATCAGCAGATATGTAGCTAAAGATGTAAATTTAGATAAAATTACCCAAGGAGCATATATATATAAAGTGAGAAGAGGAAGTTACCGTGACTGAACTCTGTGGAAGACCTGTATTTGAAAGAAACATTGAGATTGAGACGGAATTCTCAGAAATTTCTAAGAACTGGAAAAGACTGGTAGTGCAAAAACTAGGTTTTAACAAGGAGGAAGTGGTTAGCAGTGCAAAATGCCCCAGGGAGGCAACGTAAATATGTTTATACTCATTTCACAAATGGAGAAAGTGTAGTTTGAATTGGGTAATTAAGTTTGTTATGCATTATCATACAAACTAGTAAATAGCAATAAGGGTGCTGGAACCTAGGTCTTTTGATTCTTAACTCAGGACTTTATCATTTTTTATCATATTGTCTTTCCTGAGTATATACTTCTGATGCCTATAAATAAATTAATAAAATTATTATAAAGTATCTTACATGTATAAAATGTTAAGATAAAACAGTGAGATTTTAATATTTAGAATTAGATGAACATTAAAAATATATATAACTCAGACCCCGCTGAAATTATAAAATAATTTTGTTACTTTATTGCATGTTTCCTTTTATCAATTTTTTAATATCTGATAAATATATTTTTATGTGATTTTTTTATATTCATTATGGATTGAAACATTGATTTTCCTCTTAAGTTTAATATTTTGAATTAATAATGACAATGTTAAACTATATTACAGAATGAACTTCATGAGCTTGAAAAACAAATAGCAACTATCTCTGCAGAAACTAAAGAAACAGAAAGACAAATTTATCAGCAAGATGCTGCCATAGAGAATACCAAACTTCACTGTGATAGCCTGGAAACTCAAATCAAATCCTTACATTCAGAAAATGTAAAGCTTAAATTTGACATAGAAACAGCCCAAGAAGATTTTGAGGAACACATGATAAAATATAATGCATATTATGCAAAAATAAAAACACATAAAAATAATTTGGTAGAGGTAGAAAGCAAATGGTCATTTATGACTGAACTCTATGAAAAACGAAATTTTGTTAAAAAATTAAAGACAATGAAAGAAGAACTTATGCAAGATCTTCAAAATCCAGGAGGGAACCGAATAACACAAGTACAGGTTTGGAAAGTTACTTAGCAAAATTATTTTTTTCTATTACTCTTTTTTGCAAGTACATACATTAAATGATAAATTTATTGTGAAGTTAATAAAATGCCCATAGCTGTTCTATTGCATTCAGAAACTATTTTCACAATTAAAAAAAAAACTTGGATAAGTACATGTGTTATATAACAACTATTCTAGATCCTCAAATGTGTAAAGGAAACATCCACAAATCCCCAGTGGATTTAAAAAAATATATGGTCAACGAAAATCACAGTCAACAATTAATCCATTTGTTGCAGAAAGTATAACTCACAAAAATGTTGAAGCTTTAGCTTCAACATGCCAGTGGATCCAGACCAATTCAAATCAATTTAGTACACTTAAATGCTGTTACACAAGCAATATAAATTAATAATTGCACCTTAAGCATCTTACTATTTCTCTTACTGTTCTTTGAAGGTGCTAGAAGACACAAACTTAAAATATTGATCATTTCTTGCTAGAAAATTTAAAAGTATCTTTTACACTGTTGGGCAGTTGCCACCATAACTACTACTTTCATTTTTGTCTTATTTTTGTACAATTTTTAGTTCCATTTCAAATGTAAGGTTTCTTTGTTTTAGTAACAGTTCTTTATTTTGTACACCTATAGAAGTAATATTCTAATGCTATTTATCAAAACTAAATTTTGATTTGGCTAGTTTTATTAAATTATAGAAACACTGAAAATATTGGATTTATATTGACTATACTTTTCTGACTTCTGTATTTCAAATGTTATAAACATACAGGAAGACATTACAAAGTTAAAGGATAAAATTATAACTGTAAAAGAATCTATCATTGTAAAAACTTGTTTTCTTGAGGAAGAAAAAAAGACACATGAAAAATTAAGAAAAGAAATAGAGGTAAGTCTTATCTAGATTTCAATGTTTTATGGGACCATTTTTAAACTTATACTGTATTCTTATTTCCATAGTTTACTCTTAATACTCAAAACAGCTGAAGAACTATAAAATTTAGTAAATACAAATTCTTAATAGATAACTAGAGATAACTCCCTCATTGAAAGATGTTCACATATGTGAATATGTTCAAACAATGCAAGCATTTGCTACTGTTTAAATCTGAGTGAGGGTTCTTTCGGGTTCTTGTCATTCCACTAAGAATATGATACCCAATTAATGGCTAGAAAGCAGCTATGTAGTCAAAGAGGATGCCCATTCTTAGACATCAAAGACTTCTCAAAATAGAATAATAACACAATGGTAAGCGTTGTTTTTCCAAACCTCTCTGACTTCATATTTGCAATTATCAAGAGTCAAGTTAAAAAACAACTGCAAATATGCAAAACTGAAAATGAAAGTAAATTCTTAATGTGTTGTGGTGCCATCTGTAGACTTCTATAGTCATTATTGCTTAGATGAATGGTGAACAAAAATGTAAAATAATACGCTATTAAGGCCAAATAATTTTCACCTGAATACATTAATTTGGAAAATAAAAATATGCATGTTTCAATTTGTTTTTGACTAATTTGACACAATACAAAGCATCTGAAGAAATTGAAGATAAAAACCCTCATCTTTACATATTCGCGATTAAAAACATAATGATTTTACCGTATAGTATATTACAATCTAAATAAATAAGGATTTTTCTGCCCTGTGGATGTTAAGGTTCATTATAAAACAATAAATAGTAAGACAGTGTATTAGTGGTATAAAAGTAGAAAAAAATTATTATTATTATTATTTTTGAGATGGAGTCTTGCTGTGTTTGTTGCCCAGGCTCCTCCTGGGTTCTAGCAATTCTCCTGCCTCAGCCTCCCAGGTGGCTGGGATTACATGCACATACCACCACAACAAGTTAATTTTTGTATTTTTAGTAGAGACAGGGTTTCACCATGTTGGTGAGGCCAGTCTCAAACTCCTAATCTCAGGTGATCCATCTGCCTTGGCCTCCCAAAGTGCTAGGTAAAGGCATGAGCCACCATGCCCTGCCAGAAAATAATTGTTAATGAAAAAAAGAATCCAGAAATTATGCATGCATGAATGGCAAAAACAAAATAGATTACCTTTATGGAAAAACAAGGAAAAATGCTGAAATAAAACTGGATATCTACTTCATAATACACACAGGTGCACACGCACACACACAGTTCTGAGTATTGAATACAATGTAGGAGAAAAGCGTAACAATTAGTGTAAGAAAAGCATTTATTTTAAAAGAGAAAAACACTCCTTAAATTCTACGGTTAAGTATTTTTAGTTTTGACTATGCTGTAAATTTCTAGATTATGGGAATACACCATAACAAGAGAAAGAACAAGACTCTTCTCTAGATTATTATAACACATGTATGTGATAAGAGATAAGAAAATGTCAAATCAGTGAAACATTGGTCAAATGGTATAAAAAGACCATTTTTCTGAAACGTGAATATCAGAAATAAAGAAAAATATGACTGTCATTATTAACAATAAGAGACTGATAATTAAAACCACAGCTAAACTCCATGTTTAGCCCATCAGATTATCAGTATTACAGTTGGTAAGGTGTTAAGCGTGGGAATTTTAATAGACTATTGTTGTGAGTATAAACTGCTAAAAGTATTTTGGAAAGAAATTTGAAATTACCTTGTAATTTTTTTACAATAACATATTTTATTGAGGTATAATTGTCATAAGAGTAAGTACACAAATTATAAATGGATAGCTTGATTTATTTAGACTAATATGTATATTTATTTATGTTACTATTACCTAGATCAAGATATAGAACTTTCCCAGCATGTCCAGAAGGTTCTCTTCTACCCCTTTTATCAAACAGCCACTATTCTGATTTTTATAAACAACTTTACTAAGATAAAATTCACATACCATACAGTTCACCATTTTTTTTGTTAGATATTCTACCACAAAGTTTTAAAAATGAAAATAAATTATCCAGAGATTTTTTTTCTTTTTATTTAAATTTTAAGTTCAAGAGTACATGTGCAGCTTTGTTATATAGGTAAATTTCTGTCATAGTTTGTTGAACAGATTATTTAAATGCTCAGGTATTAAGCCCAGTACCCATTAATTATTTTTCCTGATCCTTTCTCTCGTCTCACCCTCCAGTGTGTGTTGTTTCTGATAGGCCCCAATGTGTGCTGTTTTCCTCTATGTGTTCATGTGTTCTCATCATTTAGATTCCACTTATAAGTGAGAACATGCAGTATTTGGTTTTCTGTTCCTGCATTAATTCACTTAGGATAATGGCCTCTAGCTCCATTCATGTTCATGCAAAGGACATAATCTCATTCTTTTTATGGCTGCATAGTATTCCATGGTGTATATATACCACATTTTCTTTAACCAGACTACCATTGATAGGCATTTAGGTTGATTCCATGTCTTTACAATTGTGAATATTGCTGCAATGCACGTACATGAATATGTGTCTTTATGATAGAATGATTTATATTCTTTTGGGTATATACTCAGTAATGGGATTGCTGGATTGAGTGGTATTTCTGTTTTTAAGTCTTTGAGGAATTTCCACACTGTCTTCCACAGTGCTCAAACTAATTTACACTCCCCCCAACAGTGTATAAGTGTTCTTTTTCTCTGCAACCTTGTCAGCATGTGTTATTTTTTTACTTTTTGATAATAATGATGATGGTATCTCATTGTGGTTTTGATTTGCATTTCCCTAATGATTCATGATGCTGAACTTTTTTTATATGACTGTTGGCCACATGTATTTCTTCTTTTGAAAAGTGTCTGTTCATGTCCTTTCCCTGCTTTTAAATGGGGTTGTTAGTTTTTTTCTTGTAAATTTGTTAAAGCTTCTTGTAAGTGCTGAATATTAGACCTTTGTGAGATACATAGTTTGCAAAAATTTTCTCTCATTATGTAGGTTTTCTGTTTACTCTGTTGATAGTTTCTCTCACTATACAGAGGCTCTTTAATTAGATCCCAATTGTCAGCCTTTACTTTTGTTGCAGTTGCTTTTGGCATCTTCATCATGAAATACTTTCCCATTCCTATGTCCAGAATGGTATTGTCTAGGTTGTCTTCCAGGACTTTTATAGTTTTGGGTTTCATATTTAAGTTTTTAATCCACCTTGAGTTACTTTTTGTATTTGGTATGAGGAAGGGGTACAGTTTCAATCTTCTGTACATGGCTAGCCAGTTATCCCAGCACCATTTATTGAATAGTCTTCCCCATTGCTTGTTTTTGTCAACTTTGTCAAAGATCAGATAATTGTAGATTCATGGCCTTATTTCTGGGTTATCTATTCTGTTTCATTGGTCTATGTGTCTGTTTTCATACCAGTACCATCCTGTTTTGGTTACTGTAGCCCTGTATTATAGTTTGACGTCAGGTAGCATGATGCCTCCAGCTTTGTTCTTTTAGTTTAGAATTGCCTTGGCTATTTGGACTCCTTTTTGGTTCCATAGGGATTTTAAAATAGTTTTTTTCTAGCTATGTGAATAATGTCATTGGTGGTTTAATAGGAATAGCATCAAATCTATAAATTGCTTTGGGTAGTATGGCCATTTTAATAATATTCTTCCTATCCATGAGCATGGAATGTTTTTCCATTTGTTTATGTCATCTCTGATTTCTTTGAGGAATATTTTATAGTTCTCCTTGTAGAGATCTTTCACCTCCCTGGTTAGCTGTATTGCTAGGTGTGTGTGTGTGTGCGTGTGTGTGTGTGAACTGTGAATGGGATTTGGCTCTCAGCTTGATTGTGTTATATAGGAGTGCTAGTGATTTTTGCATATTGATTTTATATCCCAAGACTTTGTTGAGGTTGTTTATCAGCTTAGGAAACTTTTGGGCCAGGACTTTTGGGTTTTCTAGATATAGCATCATATGATCTGCAAAGGGTTAGTTTGACTTCCTGTCTTCTTATTTGTATATGTTTTATTTCTTTCTCTTGCCTGATTGCTCTGGCCAGGACTTCCAATACTATGCCAAATAACAGTAGTGAGAGGGGATGCTTGTCTTGTGCTGGTTTTCAAGGGGAATGCCTCTGGCTTTTGCCCATTGAGTATGATTTTGGCTGTGGTTTGTTGTAGATGGCTTTTATTTTCAGGTATGTTCCTTCAATACTTAGTTTATTGAGAGTTTTTAACATGTTAAGGGAGGTGGAATTGTATTGAAAGCCTTTTCTTTATCTATTGAGATAATCATGTTATGTTTGTCTTCAGTTCTGTTTATATGATGAATCATATTTATTGATTTGCATATGTTGAACCAAACTTGCATCCCAGGTATAAAGCTTACTTGATGGTGATGGGTAAGCTTTTTGATGTGCTGCTCGATTCAGTTTGATAGTATTTTGTTGAGGATTTTTGCATCAATGTTCATCAAGAATATCAGCTTTAAATTTCCTTTTTGTTATGTCTCTTCCAGGTTTTGGTATCAGGATGATAAATTCAGTAATAAATTTCAGCTATTTATTACTGAATCAATTCCAGAGCTTGTTATTGGTCTGTTCAGGGATTCAATTTCTTCCTGGTTCAGTTTTGGGAGGGTATATGTGTCCAGGAATTTATCCATTTCTTCTAGATTTCCTAGTTTATGTGCATAGGAGTGTTTATAATATTCTCTGATGGTTATTTGTATTTCTGTGAGGTCAGTAGTAATATCCCCCTTCTCATTTCTGATTAAGTTTATTTTGATCTTCTCAATTTTCTTCTTTATTAGTCTAGCTAGCAGTTTATCTGTTTTATTAATTTTTTCAAAACACCAGCTCCTAGATTTACTGATCTTTTTAAAGGGTTTTCTTGTGTCTCAGACTCCTTCAGTGCAGCTCTGATTTTGGTTATTGTCTTCTGCTAGCTTTGGTTCTCTAATTCTTTTAGTCATGATGTCATGTTGTTAAATTGAGATCTTTCTAACTTTTTGAT